CATTGTGTCCAGGTGCGTTTTTTTTTTTTTTTTTTTGCGGCAAATTAACGGGCCACCTGAGGATCGATCTCGTGGCTTGAATGCTGTCCATTGCTTTGAACGTACATGCGCGCCATGGACCAGGCTACATGGCGTGAATAGGTGAGCCAGAGATAATTGGCTCGAATGAACGCTGGCCGTCAACGCCATCGGATGTTTTCGCTAGGCAAAGTGTAATATGTGCCGGAATGTCTGAAAGCGTTTATGACCCAAAAGTCGGGAAATCATAATCCCAGTATCCGTAAAGATGCTTCGGATATGATAGGTACTGTATGGCCAAGAAAGAAGCTAGAGTTGGTGAAAACAACATGGTCATCGGTGCCAACCCGACCCAACCCAAACTTTAAGCCTTGTGGGATTGATATCGTAGTGGCAGGGACTTTCCCGGTAATGTCGATGACGGACGGCGGATTATGGGGCGCTTGCTGTATTACTCAAGCCCTCAGTGCCAGTCTAATGTGTCAGTCGGAAGACCTCCGCTTGAAATGTGTGGCTCATCTCACGGCCTGAGCCCGTTGCTGATGTGATTAGGGCGACTGGCGTTGGTGCAGTCCACAAGCCCGGGCCTCAATGGGGCTGCACCATCTCGTCCGAAGCTGTAGCTCTGGGGGTCCAGCTTGAAGCGGCCTAAGAGCGACGATCGCGTTTTGCGTCTCAAGGCAGCAACAAAATGCACCTTGGACCAGCTGGCCCTAGGTTTCTCCGTCTAATTTAGAATATGCAGCACCTTCAGGACGCCGACTCACGGCCTGAGATGCTGCCGGGCGTCAGATGCAGTTCGACCACCACGGAAACCAGCCGCAACATGGAGGCGTTGGTGCAAGGCCACGGATGGCCACTGAAGTGACTTGAAACAGCGATGAGCAGCGTGGGCTTGCCACAAGTGGAACGCCACCAATGGTGGCAGTCAACGTTTGCTCAAGTGAGGTGGCGTCCAGACTCGTGGGTGTGATGTTCCAGAGGGGCGGGCAGCAGCTCGTAGTAGGTATGTACGCGACTATGGTAGCTACAATCATGTTGGTGGTGGGACTGAATTGGTGCTTTTAGAACTCTACCGGTAGAGCCGAATCGGAGTGGTAGCCGTGCAATGCGAGGTTCCTTTGTTACGGCGGTTGAGTTGTACCGCTGTAGATGTGCTGTCTGCTGACGGCCAGCAACACCCTTGACTGGCAATGATGTGCATCGTCCTGTCACTCAACGAGACTGGGCCGAAGCCAATTGCTACTTGAAGGCTCTTTCTTCCCCCACACGTTGGAGATGATGACATGGCGTACCTTCGAGGGGGGACTTTTGTTGGCTGTTGAGCGGTAGAAGCTTGTGGAGAGCGACGGCGCATCTGATGAACGCCCGCGAGAGAGAACGATGAGGGCGCTGTAAAACTGAGAGACCAAGCCACGCCCCGAGTTCCCGAGCGAGCCCTATCCGTGATTTAGTTTAGTGAGCTTCAAAACTGTGCTGGATATGCCAGGAGCAGGTAGCGCGGCAACGATCCAGTACCTTAGGCCTGAGGCTCAGTGTCTCCTCACCCCAGCCCTAAAGGGCGTCAAGGTGCGGGCGACGGCGTCATGTGTGGTCTTCTAGTGCGTCGGGAAGTGACCGAGGTCTCGATTCGGGAGAAGGACGCTGATTGAATAGAGTAACGAGCTAGATGTGGTCAAGACTCGAGGGACGCCCCATGATTCGGACAGCAAGCGACCGAGGACGCTGAGGCCGAGAAGGCGAGATGGTCTACTACTGCGTGTACAGCCGAGCTGGACTGACAGGCTTGACGAGGTGCAGAAGGATGAAGCGCAGCCAAGGACTGGTAGAAGAGTCTGCCTAACGGCGATGCAAACATGCGAGAATAGCGGCGATGTGATGGGGACAGAGCCTTGTCGTCGCGATGGCAGTGCAGCGGAGACATCTGTATCCGTACGGGTACTGGTATTGCGGTGAAGGCACACCTTGGAAAACCGTTTTCCAATGTCTACCTAGGACTTTCTTCCCTTGCTCAGGTTGCCGATGGCTGAGTGAAGTGATTGGATGGCATGGCATGGCTTGGATGGCCGGTCGTGCTTTCTCTGTGCGAATATCCGTATGGAGCCCAGTGGGAAAGATGCAGCTGTATCTGTTTTCGTATAGACACTTCCATCTGTAGCAAGAGTGGGTGAGTGGTAAGGAGGACTGGAGGTAAGTACGGAGTACTCCGTACCTTATCCGTCCATGCCAACGTTGATGGGGGAGGGGTGCACGGTAAGGTAAGGTAAGGTAAGCCGTTGACGTTACCGGGCCTGCCCTTGCTGCTCTGGATTTTAACGACTGCCTAAGATACCTGGTCTGGCCTGGCCTCGCCCATCCGCACCAAGATCTCGGGACCGGACGAGGTCAAAGCCAGCCGGCGTCTGGCAGTAGCCACCAAGGGTGTGTTCTGCCGGCGGGAGAGAAATTAGAAGGGAGATGGGGGTTGAAGACTGTCAGTGCCTGCGATGAAGTGAGTGAAGGAGCTTTGCCAAACACAGCTGCATCGCTTGAGAGGTGGGTTTGCGTCCGTAAGTGTAATCTGTGCGCAACATCCCGGTCCTGAGGTGAACACCAAGTGATGACCAGCGGAGCGGCGCCGGCAGGCAATTTCCAACTTGTCCAACTTCCACTGGGCCTCGCGAGTCGGAGGTTGTCACTGCTCACCTCAGGCCAACAAGGTGTGTTCTACGGAGTACGTCTCCGAAGTATACCGAGGTCGGCTGCATTAGGTAAGCCCCATGAGGAACCGCACAACGTACTGCGTTAGTACACTAAGGTAAGGTAGGTAGGCAAAGTCACTAAGTACTCACAGATCCACTTCAGGGTTGACCCCAAGCAGCACGGTCTGTCGATCAGAAGCTGACTTTAATCACATCGAGCAAGCACGGTTCACTGCTTGGCATGGCAGCAAGCTGGGGTTGACCTTCAACCGACATCCATGAACGAAACGATGTATCCCTACGGGGTGAACAATGATGAAAGGTGTCCACAGGGTAAGATGATGGTTAGGTATCCGTAGAAACATCAACGGGGTCATTGCAGAAAACTTTGTCAGAACGGTACGAACTTTTGTCAGTTGCGTCAAGCTGAATTGCTTGATAGGTGGTCTCGAATAATTCAGCCCAACTCGGCCACGATAACAACAACAGTAACGACCACGGGAGCAGAACCTGCCTGTAAGACTTAGAAAAGCAAAAAGGAAACTCGTTGATCGTCTGACTGGATGTCTCTAAAAGAAATTTGGGGCAAGTTGCACCCGTGGGAGGCAGACTACGGATAGATGGTATATCCGTACCTAGTAGGTGATGACGGGTCAGACTCAGACACGGGATTGGTCAAATAAGCCGAGACGCCCGAGTTCCTCACCTCATCACCTTAGAAAAGTCAAGGATAGGCATGTCCAGCATCTTACGGGTATTTACAATGTGGCGTACAGGTCAGTGTGGGAAAAGGCCATTGGCTTAGGTTGTTTTTCCATGCTGACGCCTTACGGACGCTATTTGGCTGTCCCGCGCGGGAGAGCTTCCCAGATCCATGCCTTCCATTTGTTACTCTACCTTTTAGGTTAACAACATGGGGAGGTAGGCATCTGTCGCCGTTAAACGACCCAACTTCTGTCATGGCCGAGGAACCTTGGTCGTCCGACGTCTCGCTGCTCCGGGAAAAAAACCCTCAAGGAGAAAAGAAAGTTGACCCAAATTTGGAAAGACGAACAAATGATTAGAAGGAGGCCGGGAAATAGAAAAGACCTGGGAGCAAGCAGACGAAAAACAAAGCCAAAGCCAATTATTGACACACCCAAGACACCCACCCACATCTTAGAGGTATGGAAGTCGGGACTTTGACATTGGACAGCAAAACGCCTAGCGCACGTAGCGCACCCACTGCGGCTACCCTGGCGCAGACATCTCACACGCTCGTCTAACCTTCTAAATCGAGCCATTGCAGGTCCCATTTGCCGCTGCGGTGCCGGTCGGGGTGGTTGTTGTCCTAAACTAAGGTATTGGTAATCCGTCATCCGAATGTACATTGCCCCAATGTGCGTAATGAGGTAAGGTAAGGTCAGATGTACGGAATTCTAGTGCTCATCCTCGTCCGCACACCCACTTCCATGTCTTGCCCCGGATACGGACTCGGAGCAATGAGAGACGACACAAAGCCGATGCGCGGCGGGGTCTGTCGACGACCCCATACCTGACGTACATCCGTAGGGTATTGCCTTCGTTTGTCGTGTTTTACGCTCGCCCGGGATTGGTTATCTCGGTGACATACGGACACTCCGTACGGATGGAACGAGAAGTAAGGTAGAGATTGTGGACACGGGATAACGTCGAGTCACCGCCATATCTCCCGTCGGCATAAATGGAAGGAATGGCAGGCAGGGTAAGGTAGACTGGACTCCTATTACTTTAGACGCAATAAGTATGCAAGAACGGAGCCCGTATCCGTGAGGTACCCTGAGGGAAACGCCTTGAAGAAGATGCTGAAGGAAACAGCTGTCGTGATTTTCCTTGCTCGTTCCCAAGACGGCACCTGCCTTACCTTGCCTCGCCTTACTGTGCCGTACCGTCCGTAGGAACATCCAGGTAGGTACGGATATCTAGGTAGCTACCTGCCTTACAGAACCCCTGGATACGTACCTCCTCTTTCTGCCCCGGTTCCCCATGAGGCGCTCATCTAGACCCGAATAAGATTAGACTCCCATGACCCAGACAGTACGTACCGTGCCTGGCGCTTTCCCGACCACACACCGTGCATCCCCACTCCTGTCCTGAACGACGAACGACAGCTCCAATCTCCTAGGCCTTTTTTTTTTCTTGCTCCCCTTCTTCTCCAATTATCGTCTCACCCAACCTGCTCACATTCTCTCCACCACCATATCCAAGACTGGGCCACATGCGGACAAAGCAGCGACAAGGATCCCGATCCTTTACTTTCAAACTCTTGGGGGAATCCAAGGGACTTGTCATTCCCTCGCCATTTGTCGCACCTGGTTTCTTACGTTCTCCCCTGGGTCTCCTCTCCTATCCGCCCTCCGTTTCCCGAATACGTTCTGTTCGCGCAATCTCTCTGCTGAACGCCGGCTGTACTTCGACGGAGACGGTCAACACCTGGCCCGTTCTAAACCGTCCTCCCGTGTCAATCTCTCGTCTTCACCTAACCTATCCGGGCATCTTGTTATTCTGCAATGCAGCGGTATGGATTGGCTTCCGCTTCCGCTTCCTTCGTTCCCAATTTGAGTCGCCCATCGTTGTGGGCACTACCCAACCCGCCCGTTGAGAGCATCTAGTGTCCGGCTTCTTCAAACGGTTTCCTTCTATCGAAGCACCTCAGTCTTCCAATTGGACTTGGGAATTCGATACCGCTGCTTACCCGCTATCTGGTTTGCTGTCGATGCTGCCAAGAAAACAGACGAATTGAGCACACAAAAAAAAAAAAAAAAGAATGAGAAATAATCGCTTCATATCCTTAGATAGGGCAGCGTCACAGCCCATCGGACCAACATCAAGTTCTTGCTCTGCCTGTCCGGTGCCGGGCTAGGTTTGCTACGCAAAACCGCCGTCCCGACGTACTGGCTCCCGGCCCAACACTGCCATTTCCTGGGGCCCAGTGGTCAGTCACCTACTGCAACTTAGACAACCTCAAGAGGGCATGGATACAGGATGCCACACACACACACACACACGCACACACTGGCTGCTAGGCCCGGCATCCTACTAACACATCATTTCATCTTTCCTAGGTGTTCTCTTGCGCGCGCAGCGGTTCCTCAGTCCTAGCTTGCTGGAATATCACCTCGTCGAATCGATGATCGAATGCCCTCAACTCAGGGTACTCAGACATACAATTACGGCCCCTGGTTCCCCGTTAACGTCGAAACTGCTGCCTCAATAGGGAATAAGGTCAATTGAAGTCCCATTACCCACTCTTTCCCGATCACAGACCGGCTGGGACGGGTTCAAGTCAAGGGCTCCCCTTCCCCGTCACCAACATCCGTGGACTGTCGTCTTCTTCCCTGAGCCCTTCCCCGTGGCCCAGCACCAGCACAGATACCTAGTACTACCTTACTATGTAAGGTAGCTGACCCAGAAACCCAGAAACCCAGAACCCAAGGGCCGGTCTCTGACGGCCAGCCAGGGCTCGAGCGATGTCATCCATGATCCATCCTCTACTTTCCACACCTCTTTCACCTAGCAGTGCTTTAGTGCGCACTAGCCTTAGCCCTGCAGCCCGTCTCAAGCTTGAAGCAGGGACGTTGACCAGGGCGTTTCGTTACGGCTGCCAATGCTTTTGCTGGAAATGCTGGAGCCTATCGATCCCTTCCCCGTCCCCTCCATAGCCCCATGTCTTTCTTCACTCATCAACTGTGCCCGTCTGCCCATCATCCCCCTCTACTGTGTACGGATACCTCAGCACGCTCCGCAACCCTCACTCACTCTTACTCTCGCTCTCATTCTCACTCCCCCCAAGGTCTCATTAATTCTGTATTGCATGTCACTCGCACTCGCTCACACGCCTCTAGCAGCGTGCCTCCGCTCTGCGCGCGCTTTCGCTCTTACACCATGCGCTAGGAACTCTCTCGCCCGCCCTCACCTCCGTTTACACCCCCTCCCCTCCGCTCCCAAGCAAAAGTCTGCCCTCGTTCCCCATCTTATACACGCCCCCTTATTCTCCACACCCTTCTGGTGTGTTGCGATCACACCCCCACACCCTCCATAACATAACAGTTTACACACAATGGGCGCTGGTACCTTACTCTGTTCTCCATCCTGGCCTGGTCACTCAATCCCATCTTTCTTACCCTGAACCCCTGCCCGCCGTCTGGACTTACCTCCATGTAGTGTAGCTTGTCTCTTTGAACATGTCCGTCTCTTGTGTCTTCTCTCCTCTCATGCGATGAAAAAGGTACGTCCAGAGGTCGGGATCTGGGCTACCATCTCCACAGCTTTTCACTGCCCGCTTGCCATTTATAAGCCAGTGCCCGCTCCTAGGCCTGTGAGGCTGAGATCTTTAACCTTCTGGTGATATCCAAGTTTAGCATCTGTGATCTCGTTGAACCAAAAGCCTCCACCTGGCGAGCAAGCAATCCTTCCTTCTCCAGACCTCAAAATCGTTGCCTGATCGTACTGGTCTCGTTATAAGTCGTCGATCCGGGTCTTCGAGTATCAAACATCGTCACTGGCTTGATACAACTCATCAACTGGTAACAACGCTTGGACATACACAGCAAAAGGTATACTCTTACACAAGTACATCTCGACATCAACTCTTCAACAACCTCGCCCGTATGTGCCATCCAGAGTTTCTTCATCGTCGTCCTTCTTCTTTTTCAATGGCTTCCAGTTTTTCTGAGCAGGGTTGCGAGGACTCTTACTCACTTCCACCCAGATCTAGAGCAGGGAGCCGTGTATCAGCTACAGCTGCTCAATTCGCCAACATTCAACTAGTCGATTCCCCCAGAACGCTACCGTTAGAGTCCAGCCCCTCGGTCAGATCTGAGGCTCTCCATTCCTCCGGGTATATCAGTCCCAACCCGCCCAACTCCGCAACCTTTCTCTCAACCTCCAACTCACAAGGATACTCGCCCTTTCCCCTCCTACCTCCTGAGATCTTGAACGCAGCAGAGTGGAACGAACACGAGGTACATCACACTTCGGATTCGACCCCTCTAGTCAGAGTGGACCCCGCCCAGGACTACTCTTCCAACCAGTCCTCTCCGCCACTGAGAACTGGAGCAAGCATGAGGTGCGCTTCCAACATTGTACCAGCCACTAGACTATAAAGACCATCTAACACTTCCTCCTTCTTCAGCACTGTTGCTATTCCATTTGACCCTTCGTTCACCATGGGAAGCCGATCAGCATTCACTTGGCCTGGTAATTAACCGTCCATTTCAACTCCCCTCTTGTACCCTTCTGGGATCCTCTAACAATCTCAACTTGAAGGTCTCGACAACCCCGAAGCAAGCGGATCATTACTTGGCCACAACCTCTCTTCCCTCGGACACCATCACCAAGACGCCAGCCTCACACCACCCAGCGGTTCCAGATCAGTAACAGCAAGTCCGCCACGGGGGACTTTGACACCAGAGCAGAGGGAATTGAAGAAGCAGAGAGACATGGCTCGTCGAGACTCAAAGGCATCACAACGCGTCCACAGAGCTGGTAGCAACCCCTACATCCATTCGCCTCCCCTCAGCCTACCCGACGTCTCTTCAACAATGGGCGTACCCGTGTACACGACAGCACCGGCGCCAATCTCCCTTCTCGCAGAGCCGGCAACTTCAATGGGATCGTCATCATACCTCCCCTCTTACAGCCCGCCTCTGTCAGACCATGGCTACCAGAGCGGATACCCACCAATGGCCCAGGCCTACGGCATGGGTGGCATGGACTACTCCAACCAGTTCCAACCGCCAGCACAATACGGGTATGTTACGAGAGAGATGGGGATGGCCCAGGAAAGACGCTTCGAAACTAATAAGAACCAACGCAGAAGCCGACACTCGATGCCTGTTGGACAAGACCCGAGCCTGATGTATGGCGTGCCGCCACCGATGGGCCCCGGAGCCCCAGACCAAGGGGGGCACGTCAGAGTGGTGCAGAGCCGGCCTAAACCTCAATGCTGGGAACACGGCTGCAACGGAAGACAATTTTCAACCTTTAGCAACCTCCTGAGGCATCAAAGAGAAAAGTCTGGGCAGGCGACCAAGGCCACATGCCCTAATTGCGGCGCCGAATTCACAAGGACGACGGCAAGGAACGGCCACCTTCTCCACGACAAGTGCAAGCAGCGCCGAAACACGTGAGTGCTGTTGGCCGTTGGAACCAACAGCACGCGAACGGGGGAGAGAAAACCAGCAACAATAACAACAAAAGTCCCTTTTTCCAACACACACACATACGCAAGCCATGCAAGGACCTTACGGCCGTGCTATTTGCGGATGGAGGGGGGAAAATACCAGATCCGTTTTACCATTCGAACTGTACATGTTTGGGGCATTCGAGCATTTACTTAAACAGGAAACGAGAGAAGCCGAGGAGGGTTACAAAAATATCGCTGGAAAGGAGAGAGGAGTCACATAGGTAGAAGTTGTCCAACGAGCTTGTCATTGGCACACTTTTTTGGGAGTCCATTTTTTTTTTTTTTTTTTCTTGGTTCTTTCATTTGGGTTATTTGGGTTTTCCTACCGGGGAGGTGTTTTTTCGGTTTGTTTTCGCTTCGTCATCTTTCTTCGTTCTCACGACAATTTTGGAAGGCTTTTGTCTATGGGGGAAGCAGCGGCAGGAACAGCACCAACGGCACAAGACGATCAAAATCGTCCAGGTGGCACATCTTCTTCTACTCAACTTTGCGATATCGATATCGATAGAAACTTGAAATATACCCTTTCACTAGCGTCAAAAAGAACGCATCTTTCTACATACACGTTCCAATCCCGTTGTCTCTCAGTGCATCAGCGTCAAAATTAGGGACATGCAGCAACTTACGTTGAAAATCAAAGTAGATGCAGTCCGTCAAAATTAGAAAACACCATTGTCTGTCTTACCAACGTCGTCTCATCTCGTCTCGTCTTACAATCCATCTGTAAGACGGACATGGCACCCGGCGTCCGTGGAGAAACCCTTTTTTTGTTTTCCCTTCGTGGTTATTTTTGACTAGTAACAAGTAACAGCAGTGCGCGCAGACTTACCTAGCGGACATGGCATCCGAACATTTTAGGCGTGAGAAAACAAATCTTGTTGCCTTGAAGGATAAATTACAAGCATCCTTGAACGCACGTCATATCGAATAATCAATTTTTTGTTTTTCTACTTTCGCTCTTTCGCCCTCTCGCTCTCATATCCGCCTTGTCGTTAGTCTACATGTGAAAGACATTACCAGGGGGAAGGGGGGCCTGGCGGAAGTGGTGAAGCGGGAGAAGGGAAAAAAGAAAAGGCCTCTGCAACCCCGGCACTTTTTCGCTTGAACCCCTGGCAATCTCGAAATTGGGTGAGTCGCCCGCAACCGGCAGCCCGCAATGTCTCTCAAGTTCCCTCACGCCCACCCCACCCCTTTCTCTGTTTCGGGCATTTGTTACCACCGACCGTGGAAACGACCAAGCCATCCAAGCTAGGGCCCTTGAATCTTATGAGTGAGCCAGCGAGAGCGGGGAGGGAGAAATGGCTACTATCCAAAACAATGGGAACTTCGAAGAGGGGCGGGCCCAAGGAACAATTGTTGTTGGCGGCCGCCAAACGACGCCGTGACGCTGGGTCCCTTGTCAAGGCGGCCGCGGAGGCCAAGTAAGAAGAGTGAAAACGAGGTTGGGAAGACGAACAGGGACCTGCCCTTCTCTCTCCCAAACATACAAAGGAGGGAACAATAAGCATTTTCGCTGGGAAGGGGTTTACGAGATGACAATGGAGCTCCCCCCGATCATGCGGCATAGTTTGGTAGGCTAGTTGGATTTGGAATGCGGTACTCCGTGAGGGAAAATGGGGACAACCAAGCAGAAAACATGAGTACATTACCTTGCGTTGCTTTACATCCGATGTCGTTGGATCTTTTGTCAATTCGTCAGAAATGGAGATACGACGGATTGTGGAGGGTTAGACGTCGGATGGACCAAGGTTTGGATGGATGAAGGAGGGGGGCGCGACGACGTTTCCAGCGAGGGCAACGGGAGGAGAGGAAAGGTCCTAGCTTTCGGAGTCGCTCTCCGTCCATAGGGGAGACGCTGATGCATAAGCGCCAGCGCCAAGTGAGCTATGAGCCGGGGGCTTCCTAGTGATGTCAAGATCAGTCGAGCGGAGTTGGAGAGGAGACCGTCGTGCTTTATCCGACTTTTGCAAGGGCCCGGTGGAGACTCGAACACCCGGTGGGCTCCCCCGGTTCCCAGCCGTGGAACTCACGGATCGTGGGGCTGGATTTCCAGGCCATCGGCGGAAGCAATCTATCGTCCACGTGTACTTCGGACGGGGAGGTGTGAGAGAATGGCATCTGTGATCTGGTAGACTGGTACGCGGCGCGCCCAGCATCCCATCTCGCTTGCTTACTATCGCTCGCCGACATGGAGGACCATCGGATGATATCAAGAAAAATATGGGGATTCTTGGTGGTGGATGGAGGTCCCCTCTTCACGCCGGTGCCGGACCGAGACGGCGCGCAGCCAACTTGGGGGGGGGGGGCGCTTTGGCGCACTTTGAGGATCAATATATGATGCCATTGTTGACTGGGGATCGCCCCAAAGCGTCTCTATTTGTGAGTCGTAGTGTTAGAACCGGGATGGCTAGCAGAGCCGCTGCGAGCAAGTGGCTGCCGTGCAACGTTGAGAAGCCGTGGAGTCGAAAGATGCTTTACCAAGTTTACGGGTCGACTGGCGTAGGATCGGCACCGTACAGGCGGACAAGGCAGGTATCAGACATCCGTACTGGCCGCGGATGCGATTGCCTTCTTCTCGAATTCTCCCTTACCCATTCGACATCGCCCGATACCAGGACAGCAAAGCTTGCAGTCATTTTTTGTTCGCGAGAAATGCTGATTTGACGTCCATCGGACCAAAGCCGAGACAGAAACGCTAGTCGGTAGACCATCCAGAGTTGAGCGACACATGCAATGAATACTTGGAAGAGTATGCAGTTGGCCGAATCAGGCTGACCGACTTGCATGCTGCCATCGGACAAGGAAACGCAAGAGGGGCCAGTCGACTCAACCCAAGCCTCTTCTGTCTAGTGTAACTGGTCCCGGCGGGCAATTGAAGACCCGCCTCCCGTCACAACGGACCTGGTTGGGGGACTAGGAACCTGGGACCCGGGCTCCCAGGGCTCACAAGGGAGAGCGGGCAGCGATCGCCGTCGCAGACGACCCAGACAAGCCGGGTTCAGTCAAGGCAACGAAGTTTTTTTTTTGCAGATGAGCTGCTTAGAGTTGTCTGGCTCGACCGGCGCATCCGTATTCAGCCGTCTAGACTCTAGGCCAGGAGTGGCAGGCCAGAATTCGTATGAGTAGGAAAGCCTCAGCAAATCTCAGGGTTATGATATCTTCTAGGCCAAGCGGGCTGCAAAACGGTGAGCAAAGAACAACAAGCAAGGTGAGGGGAACAGGATCAGATACGTACCGAAAATGAAGGTAAGGCGAGGTACGTACTTATTGGAGAATGGGAAAATGCTGGAGGTGTGTATGGATAGTCACTGTGGTGTGGTGTGTGGTGTAGCTGACTCCGCCTTCACCCCTCCCCCCATGTCCGACACAGCCGCGATGGAAATAGGACGGGTCCTAACTGGTAGGGAAGACGTTGGTAGGTTGTAGGCGTCCCTAACGATGTCTGGTTTAACGTCTATCGAATCCATCTGATTATGGAAAGAGGTCGGGGTTGGAGGGTTGATCGCGACAAGCCTGCCTTTAGGCATCAAAATAAGGTCGAATTGGAGATGCACAAATCTCGTTTGAGCTGAGATGAGTTCTTGCTTCTGAGAATTTGGGGCTTGGAACGGCCCGCCAGGGCAAGAAGGAATAGACGGGCGGGCGGGCGGGCGGCGGAGGAGGCGGCGGCGGCGGCATACCGCGGCTGTTGACGCAGGTAGTGCGCAGACTTGTGCGGTAGTCATGGCTATCGTGGTGGTGGTCATGGTTGTTGGAGTTCGAATTTTTCTGTATCACTACGACTAGACGATGACGACGACGATACCGTCGCTTGCTCCTTTGGCTTTGAGGGTGTCCCGTCGATGGCTGCGCGACGCCCACGCGCCTCTCCGAGGTCTTCCGCGGGAGGATGAGGCACAGGACCAAGTGATGCTGCGTCAAGGGCGTGTCATCCTCCGAGTCCGAGAATTGCGAAGGAAGAAACGCAGCCCAGTCCGAGATCAACGTGGGATTGAGGAGCCATGCAATGCAGATGCAGTGCGAGGGAAGACGACGTGGGTGCCACCCGGTTGGTGTCGACGACCTGGTGATGGATCAGAAAGGGCTGGCCTGGCAAGTTGTGAGCGTTGAGAGCGACACTGCAAAGGTGAGGGAGGCATCTTACTGGACCGCCCGGACTTTTAGAGGGGCGCCCCCGCCGTCTGTCAGCCTTCACCCAACGGACGAGGAGGGCAGGCGTGGCAGGGTGCAGGGGATGCTGCGGACAGAGGAGGTGAAGAAAGTGCAGTGCAAGACCACAACGGTGGGTACCTTACCTTGCTCTGTCCTGTACCTTGAGGTAGTACCTAAGGTCCGTAAGGTAGGTATTGACACACCTCACTCCTGGGTACGTAGATATTCCGTGTATGGCTACGTTACCTTCTTTCCTCCCAGTTGACATATTGCGTAGATTCCGCGAGGTACGGATACTGGATGTTACACTACCCTTGCTGGGCGTGCAGGCCTGGAAGTGACGACTGACTGTAGGTACTGTATCAGCAGTGAAGGCAATCTCAACCTACCTTACCTTAGGTAGTCAATGCTCAACACGCCGTCCGGTCTCCTTATTGCCACTTCTCATGGGGAGAGTCGAGACTGTCATACCTTGTCCCGTTATTCCCAGAGACATCATCCTTACAAACTGAACCTTCGGTCCCGAGGCCAGCTCTCTCGTCCGAAATCCTTGCCGGATTCACCGAAGACGTTCATCCTTGGTTCTGGCTCGTGCTTGTCGGAGACTCTCCGCCCCCAAATTTTAATCTCAGGGTGGAGTGAGCGGTTCAATTCGCTACCCGAAACTCTCGCAAGGGCCAAAAGTTGGTACCTATTGCAACCTCAGCTTCGCCAAGTACCCAACGTCGTAGTAATTACTGTGGTCATAGTGTAGGTAATACTTCGCTCTTCCTCCACACCCCGACTGGCCTTCCCATATAACTCAATCTGCTCTCTACTGGACCCCCTTTCTAGAGACTGGAGTAACAACTCGACACCCTGCCCTGTGAGGCACATGGCTTACAAGGAAAAGCCAGGAGTGGAAGACGGGGCGAGAGAGCCGTGAGCAGGGAATTAAGCGGCTTTTGTGGCATAAGGGGGAACAGCATCCATCATTCATGCGCTGAATGTGCCCGCATCTGTACGGATGATAAAAAGAAGACCAGGGGCACCACCTAAGAGAATCTGATGTCATCTTTCGTAAGTCGCCTGCCTTGGGAGTCGATGTGCGGCAAAATATCGAATGAGAGCTGAGGGAGGATATGAACAACGTCGTACCCATTTTGGGATAGTCGAATTTCTGGTCTTTGCTAGGTACGTTCATGGGTTATCAGTTCACTGCAACCAGTAAGACGAGAGCAGAGACGAGCTCACTCTTCTGAACAGTGCCCTTCTTCCCCAGGCTAGCCGAAAGTTACCCCTTCCTGACGCCCGTGGATTATCCGTCATGCCTGGAATTCCGCAAGAGACTCGGCCATGATTAGACAGGCCCGAGGTTGACGGTCGGATGGGCAGACCCTGTTCGTAATGGCTCAAAGAAAAAGCGTGACCAAAGATCAAGAGATCCAAATCCCCGTGGATTTGAGCGAAGAAGGGTTGGGGTTACGAAGGGGTCCAGTACCTATCGGTGGGGGTTGGCGATGGCAAGTATCCGTAAACATGCTCGTCCGTGCTCCAGCACGGTTACCAAAGGTGCCTGACTGGCTGGCTGCAACACTTGGGATGTGCAATGATTGGTCCCTGGTTTCTGGATCCAACCTCCAGGTTACGCTGTTGCAGCCTTCTGCAACCTCGATCTTACTCCCGAACAGGCTCGGGAGTAAACACCTCGAACGCATGGTAACCTTGCGGGTGTCCATAGCCTGTGCCCGTAGTGTACAGTCACGGACAGATGTCAATAATTGAGCCCCCTTGGGATGTGATCCGGGGGCTCCCCGTGCTGGGTAAACGCTAGTCTAGGCGGATGACTACCCGCTCGAGAGTCGAGATTACCGTCATTAGAGTGGCCTCATGCTCCACATGAACGTGTTGGCGGACCCAGAGCGACTACAAATGATCCTCGAGCTTCCGTGGCAAACCGACCCTAGTCCCGAATTCTCGTGCGCGTTCGGCCCCATTACGCCCGTCGGTGAATGACTGCGAACGGGGGAGACTGGGACCTACGACTGTCGGGCATGTCGGTGTTGTCATCCGGGCTTCATTTGCGCGGCTTGGTGTGGTATCCACGACACGGCAATCCGCGCCCAATACCAGCTATTTTCGTATCGAAAATGAAAAAGATCGGGAAAAGGAGAAAAGGGGCCGCCGTTCGGCAAAATCGAAAATTAGACTCGCGACAGGCCAATGAGCTATCAGCTGTGAACAAGATAGCACAGACGACTGCTGTAAGACTCGACTGTCCTATCCTTTGACAATACGAGTTGAAAACGCTGTCTGTCTAGGGTGGCTTGCGACGGACGGTTTGGCGTCATGGATATACGCAAGCTCTGTGTCCCCAGGAAGAGACATTCATACTCGCTGGTGTTTCAGCCATTGCAGAAAGATCCAACTTGCCACCGGCCACACGCAATGACGCGAACTGTAGGCAGCTTCAATTACAGTCGATGCAGCTGTGAACTTGCGACAACTCTTCGACCAACCAATGCATGGGGCTCCCAGACTGTTTGCCGCAAGGTTGGGGGCCAAAACCTAACCTTTGTTATATTATATAAGCAGAATGTGCAACGGGCAAACATTCACGTGGAGCTGTGACTCCAGCGACCCGGAAAAGTATCGGGCCCATATCCTACCGGTTTGGGGAATCGCCATAAAGTGAGGTTGCATTGGTGATGGCCCACTCTGAAGGCATGCCAAGTTGACAAGTTGACAACAAGCTGTCACAGGTCCTGACATGCTGTGGCCATCTACTCTCCTCGTGCGCCATTGGACGGAATACTCGACGACACTCGTTGCGTCTTGGGCCTTATTGGCCACCACGCGACCTGCAAGTGCAATCCTTCAAGACTCGTCAAGCGTCTGCTATTCGATGATAGCAGTAGCGAAGTAGGCGCAGCAAGTTTGACCTGAGACGCCAAAGCATAGTCTAGCTAAGTGCAGCTGCTTCCTTTTCTGGTTGTTCGGGATTTCCTGGTATTCCAAAGACCCCTCTCTAGTCATTGAAAGTCTTCGTCCCAAAGTCGAATGATGGGTTCTGGCGTTTGTCAGAGCTCAAGTACCTGTGGCTGTCTCTATCCCTAGCCCCGAAAGCTCCGGGTAACCAAACGTGTGAGCCCTTTCTTTATCATCCGTTCCAGTGGCCGAAGTCCTCAACAATCGTCCGAAGTCGTAACGTTACTAGTAGAACAAGCTGGGGCTGTTAAATTGCTGATTTAAGGCTCTGAACTCACATCCGGGGACATGAGCATATGCTTATCACGTACTCCGAGATCGTGGGAGGTTGTGGTCACGATTCCAGAAGAGCTATCGCTTTGGACTACAGGAAGACGCCGCTCAAACAGTCAAACAGCACTGCATAGAATATGTTGAGACACTCGGTAGCCGCTCGTCGTGTTTCTTGTCGCTTGCGCGCTACGGGTAGGCTGACGACCTGTGATGACTTCCAGGCAGCAGTATTATTGAGGTCCACTGATGGGCTAGGCGGGCGAATTTGGACAAGGTTGGTGGCTTGATCCACTGCCGTGCCGGTCGGGAGCGTCCCACAGCCCAGTCCGTCTGCATCCATATCGATTCACCCTCCATCTCGTCGAAGGCTAGTCGCTCAGAAGCCAGCCCTGTTGGGCGCGAAGTGGCGAAGTCACCGGCAGGACGCTGATGTACATTGGCGGCAGGGCGAACAGGTGGCACGAAAACGGTGCTACTGTCACTTGCAAAGGATCATGAAGCAACAGTGGTCAACGGCTAATGATGGTTGAAAAGCAGGGGCCGGCCCATAGGGCGACAGTGGAACAGCCACATGGAAGCTCTGGAAAGGACTGTGCCGCTTTCAAGCATGCACTATCTCGTCTACCCGGCTGCTTTGATTTGCAGGCAGACGTTAAGGGGAAGCCATGGAGCTGTGGCCCCTGATGAGCAAGCGTTCAGATCGGAAGGATTGCAGACTGGGTCATCTTCAGAACCACGAGGTAGCCGATAAGTAACGTTGAAGCGTTGACGACAAATACGGCAAGCTTGAACAGAAGCATGATAAGTCTCATCCTTTTCATGTGGGTAAAGCTGACAGGCTTCATCCGTAGGGTTCATGTCGAAGTCGTGACAGCCTCTTCGTATAGACAAGCGTATATCGAATGACCAGGTCACCCCGTGATATGCTTGTCCATCATTTCGATCTCGCTCGGGGTTAGTGACAGTGGAAATTAACTGAGCCGGAAGACAACAGCCGTCTGTTTGTCTCGGGGCCGAATGCCTCTTCTCCTTCGATAACTCCGTGGAACTCATGGGGGTCGCATTTCCCCGCTTCAAAGGAAGAGGCTTGACGACGCATGAAGCTGTGATCGGTCATCAAAGTGGCCGATTGGGTTAAGCCCGCAACGGTTCGGTGTTTGAACCACTTTTTGGCCAAGTTGTATTGGCCTCGATTCTGTTTGTGTACTCCCGAACAAATCTTCCAGTACGGAGAGACGAGCCGACAGCGAGTGATATTGAAATGCCTGCATATCGAAGTACCCGGATGACGCGACAGCTGCCGGACGTCGATTGCAAATCGCCCCGGCCTTGGACAGTCACGGCGCCCGTTGCTTGGGATGGCCCTGCCTCTTTGTACTGATTGAGGAGCCTGCCCGCTGGCACCCAAGGCTAGACTCGAATCCTCGGACGATTTGGAGATTGCTCATGATATCGCGCACTAGCCAGCAATACTCCACGTCTGGATACGAAACACGGTTAGTCGCCAATGACTTGTGGGAAGAATGCGTTACAGGCTCTTTGCGGTACGGTTGAAGCTTTGAGGGGTGGGAAAACAAGTTCGTACCGGAAATTGAGATCTCATTGCTCTCTTGTTGTATCTCTTTGGGGTTTTGCGTTCATGTTCAAGTCTCCCGTGACCCCTTGCTCTGGCCCAACGGTGATACCCTGTCATGTCTCCTGTCTTTCTCTATGTTGAAGCATGCAGGTCCTGTTGAGGACAAGTTTGACGCAGCTTGTCTCGATCCTTCGTCTCGTTACCCCACACTTGTCGTGAGGGAAACACCACTTGAAGACATGCCCTCGACCATGCTCGACAGGGAAGAGCGGCTGCGGGCGCTTTAAGCGAGTATTTGTGGGTTGGTGGCAACGACACTGAAATGACTTGTCTATGATCCTCAATTAACGCGCCTAGCTAGGCACGATACTTTCTTCCGGCGGTTTTGAGTCTTCGTAGCTTGGTCATGGTTGCGGATTGACATCGGGAGTCGTCCGCGAATATGGTGGAATTCAGCGGTTGCTTAGATAAGGTAGCAGGGGAGATATTGAAGGTGTGTAGGAAGGTGTGTAGGATACAAGCGAAAGAGAGAAAGAGCGTCGTATTGTACGGTGTACCTTATGGTAAGGTAAGGTAGAGCAAAGGGAGGAGGTGTGATTGTAGAAGTGGATATTGGCTCAGAGGGGCGTGGACATAAGACGATGCAGCAGGAGCAGGGGCCACTCCAGTATACTGTGCTCAGTACGGTGTTTTCGCTTCTGTACACTGCCAGCCATCAGGACGCACGCACCACCAGCATTTGCGCCGTGTGCGCCTGTCTCGCTTCGTGGCTGCCGCTCTGGGCGTTCTTTCCCTCGGGTTCACCAATTGAACGAGGAACGCCGCGCTAGCGCCTGTCGCCAGCTGCGGGAGTATTAAGCGCGACACTGCCATAGGCCCACGTTATCCCTCCCAATTTTTGAGGCGTCAAGCACGCTCTAAGCGCAGCGCTTAACCAACCCATCAACGCCAAACAAAGTAAACACCTACATCCACCTACTTAGGAATCAACAACAACCGGCGACAGCACGGCAATCCTTCACGATAGACAACGTCGACCGACATAATTGCGACTTCCTTGTTCAGTCACCGCACTATCCTTGCCGAGACTCTGCAATGAGGCAGGCCTTGAATCCTTCCGCTTGAGCTCATCTGGATGCATTCCACAAGCAGTCATGGCTATGATAGTGAGCGCCGCGCCGTCCAGGTGGAGCGGCAAGAGACAGAGTGTGTTCAGATCAGTCTTTGACTCCGAAATCTCGCAACCTACTCCTCATTCGATACCTTCTCAGAGGTTCAAGCCGCAGGGAGAGCCGCTCGGCGGCGCACTATCACCGCCACTACACCATCAATCATCCTCCCGCTCGCGTTTCCCCAGCCATGGCAAACCTTCAGAATTCCACGTCTCGTCTTCATCTCGGCCTTCAAAAACCTCTGCTTCCATGCCGGCCAGCGACCAAGTCCGGTGGGACCAAGCATGGCACATTGTGACGACTCGTATTCAGCTTCCGCCGTCAGTGGCCGCTGAGGACTCCTTTGGCACTTTGGCTCCGGAATCCCAGGATTACGATGCAGACTTTTATGACAGTCTAAAGCTGGTTCTCCATCCAGCGAAGCACGCTGAGAAAGCCGCTAGTACCGAGGACATCCTTTCCTGGCATACTCAGCAGGTTCGCCACCACTTCGCCCAACATGTCCTCCCCCTACTTTCCGCTTGCAACACGTACGGTGACCAATCCCAGGTACTCCTCGGAAGCATCCATACTTTAGAAGCAGCTCACCGCCAGTATCTTTATGGACTGTCTCTTATCGTGCGGGGCCTTGAGAACAAGAATGCAGACATCGCCGTCGACAAGTTCCGCCGTGATCTACACGCAGTCATCGGCAACTCCATGTCGCAGGCGCTTATGGAGTCTCTCCGAGCTGTCCTGAGTCGCCTGATGAGGTTGGTTCTGGGCATGCAGCAGACCAGCACTCCCTCAAGCTTCCCTCGGACAACCGACCTCGAAGCAGATCGTCAGGCAGCTCGGCAAGAGCTTCTGCAATTAATTGAGGCACTGCACAAAGTAGGACTGGCAGGCGAGAGGTTCCAGGTCCTATTCGCTGAACTCATGGATGCCATGATGGTGGAGCACATTAGAACGTCATTCGCGGGCGCCTGGACGCAGTCGAAATCTGATGGCGGGAAGGATGCTCCGCGCGCCTCGTCTGTGCCTCGCGCTACGAAACTTGGCACCCCTTCACGCTGCATTGCTGCACTTTGCAACTGGGTCGAGAACCATTACTCGCGGCTAGCAGTCGAGGTGTTTGCTCGCCTTAGAAGCGGGGACATTGCTTGGACCGATGTCGAAAAGTGGAAGGAGATTGCCGTTGGGCGATTAGCAGTCATGCGTATTCATGAACTCTTTGACATCGTTCTCCAATGGCCCCACAGCAGAGGCGCTCTCGATGACCTCCGAATGGCAATCACAACGCCGCAGAGACGGCTACAACTGACGGACACGTTTTCGGCAGCGTTACAGAAACGGCTGTTGCACCCGGGACGGTCAACACTGGATATACTACGGGTATACATTTCCATGATCAGGACGTTCCATGCTCTAGACCATTCCAAAGTACTACTGGACCGTGTGGTCCATTCGCTGCAGCTTTACCTATGCCAGAGAGACGATGCGATCCCCATCGTCGTGACTGGACTACTATCAAACCCGGATAACTCAAGTACAGAGGCAGGCAGTACTAAGCTTATCGAGCTCGCCATTCTACTCAACGATCCATCACAGCAGAGAGGACCTGCCGTGGAGGATGAGGGACTGGACTGGGACGACATGGAATGGATCCCGGATCCCGTTGACGCCGGAGTCAACTACAAGCGTCCCAAGTCAGAGGATGTCATCGGGACCTTAATCAGCGCTCTGGGTTCTCAGGATATATTTATCAAGGAGTTCCAGAATATCATCGCAGAGAGGTTGCTGTCCACGCAGGTGGAGTTCAGTCAAGAAGTCCGTGTGCTTAATCTACTGAAGAAGCGGTTTGGGGATAATGCCTTGCAAAACTGCGACGTCATGATAAAAGACATTCAAGACTCGAAGAAGCTCGACGCCATCATCTCCAAGACGGTCAGGACAGGCGTTATCGGTTCCGTTCGTAAGGCCCACAATACTCCGTCATATCATACCAAGATTCTTTCTCGGCTCTTCTGGCCAACTATGGACAGAGAGCATTTCATCTTGCCCGGGCCTGTCGTCGAGGGTCAAGGACAGTACGAAGGCGAGTTCGAGCGTCTCAAATCCAACCGCAAGCTTACATGGCTCAATAATCTCGGAAACGCCACTGTAAGCCTTGAACTCGAAGACAGGACAGTTGAGAAGGAGTGCAAGACGTATGAAGCCGTTGTCATATATGCATTCCAAACAGACGAGTCTTACAGTGGACCGCTTCCCGTACGTCGCACAGTTGACGAGCTTGAAGAGGTGCTGCAAATGGACGATGATCTGATTCGCTCCGCCCTTTCTTTCTGGGTTGGTCAGCGTGTCATCCGCGAGATTGAGCCGGGCACCTTCATCGTCATTGAGAAGCTAGATGACGATGCCGACGATGGAGGGAATCCACCTGGACCCGGCCCTGGTGATGCTCCTGCGCCCGACTCAGGCGACCTTTCACCCAAGAAGCCGGGCGCGTTGGATGCCAAGGAGAAGGAACGTCGGCAGGTGTACTGGCAATTCATTGTTGGTATGCTGACAAACTCGAGTCCAGCCATGCCGCTGGTCCAGATCGCCATGATGATGAAGATGTTGATAGCGGACGGGTTCCCATGGAGCAATGAGGAGCTGCAGGAGTTCCTTGCAGAAAAGATGGCGATGGATGAATTGGAGCTGGTAGGAGGGAAGTATCGACTGCCAAAGAAATGAGCGGCATACTTAGGTTTCTCCAACAGTAGACAGCAGAGTTGTCAGAGCTGGAGGTGCTGGATGATTCCCTATGACGGGATAGTTTTACAACACAGTTTGATCACCCTCGGCTCATTTGTAAAGCCACACTTTAGTACAGTCAATAATAGCTACGATACCCAACCAAGTCATGCTCAGGTGTCAATTTCCCGTGACGTGGATGCTGTGACTGAAGACCACGGCTCACAGTGGACAAGATCTCTGACCCCATGTACTTTACAAACACCTTCTTCTGGTGTTGAGACTATTCGTAACGCCATTTTGATCCATCAATTCTGCACCCAGATCTCCGCGGACATGAGCTTGATGCCTGTCGATCTGTCGTCTGGCAGTTTGAGTATCTTAGGATAGGAGTGACTCTATGTTTTGTTACAACCCTCGTTCCGGCTACAGCGGTTCTTGCATCAAAGTCGTCTCTCCTCGTTCCCTCTTTGGTATCTACTCTCGATTGAAGGGACTAGGTCTGAAATTGCCTCACTCGCATCGTGTCTGACTTCGACGAGAAGGGAATATCTAGAGACTTGATTCAATCTCCGTAGATACATGGTATCGGGCTAGGACCTTTAATGATAATAATGCCCCGAAATGACTGAGTCCGTGACACGTCCGCCAGTAATCGGGTTAATGTGCCCGCCTGGTTAACGTTTCTCGCCATTGATTGAGTATGATGAGGCTGACCATGGCCAACTCTGATGTGTCGGTCCCCCACACCCCCTCTCTGGTCATGAAATATTTTTCAGTCTTCATGATGATGCTCTAGGGACTGTTCGGTTAGACGCCAACGGTTGTACCATGCCTCCTTGCGTTTGAGGTGCTTCGTGTTGACATGAAGATGAGTTTTAAAGTAACACTCCCAGCTGCGTTGAGTACATCTGGGTGCAAAGGTGTCTGAACAGTCTATGAATGCCCGACAGAACCTACCAAGTATTCAGGACTCTCTTTCTGCTGACTTCTTGAGCTCGCCCTGTGACCGAACTTGTATGAATTTGACTTGTGATGGCATGAAGATACTCTACTTCAAGGCCCAGGAAGTCTACAGGCCGTCAAACATGCTTTGAAAAAGTGCCTTCAAGCAGTGTAATCGCCCCTAGATGTTGACATGGGAATCCATCATCCACTTAGTGAGCTAGGCACGAGGTGAGAAGGCGAGGCTCCAGGCATCAGCAACTGAGTGTAGAAAGCGATAAAAGGTGGCATGAACTTACCCGGACAAAACTCAAGCGGCTTTCGTGGGATTGCGCCAGAGATATGCCACCGGGCATACCCTGCGATCAAGTGCAGCAGACTCTGCCCTCCAACATCATTATATCCATTCATAAACAGATGATCTCACTATGTATACGACTAGGCAGTACATAAGTTCTGTAAATTCCAAAGCAGAAGGGTGGGAGAAGTTTCTTTGGAGGAAGTGCGCTGAAGAGCTGATGCTTGCGTTCACCCTGTAAGCTTGAAGCAGTATGATGATCAGTAATCGTACAGACCTTTCAGGTTTGATAACGGCAGATGATGGTAGCGGATACCTGACGCCACCCGAAACCTCCCAGGGACATCAGAAGCCTTGTTCGTCATTCTATTCGACCTGATGCCGGACGAATCGACTTTAATGATATTATCTGGCATGTTTTCGATTCGAGTCGAGGCACTGACATCTCAAACCCTTCCCTATCAACCTGAATAAAGGTCCATGTCTTTTCCCTCATCTCTAAACTAGGAATATTCGGGATCCCATAGGCTTATTTGCATACATCAGTGCAGAAAGTTCAACCTAGGAGTGAAATAAGGCTGGTACCGATAACTCCATCGTCTCATCCAACATACAATTTTCTGCATCTATCGATGGCATGGTCCCATTTTGGAGAATACTGGGAGTACATTGCTCCGCAGGAGAGCCGATAAATTCTATCACGGCTAGATTCTGACGAGTACACCCGGCCCCATTCCCCAGTGTAAAACCCCATGAGTACGGGTAAGAGGATGGAAACCGTCCTTATTGGGTTGACTTATATGTCGTGTTCTCAAGACCGCTACCATGCCATGATAACAGCACCCACGTAAACTCACTTTTGAGATGGTGAGCGTCGCCCTTCGCCTTCAGTCGAGAGACTGTGATCAAAGCTCCCTCATATTGGTCAGCTGCGCGTTATCAACTGGACAGGTTCAGCTGATTCTTAAGACCCTGGACGAGTTTAGTGTTTCAAGGGGGATATACGTTCTATATCCTTTAGACGGTGTCCCTTCCACGAATTATGGAGCAATGTTGTCAAGAATGAAGCTTGCAGTTGGAAAGACAGGACAAGTAAGAGCTCAGAGACGAGTCTTGATGTCTCCCTCGAGGTATGGTACTTCGAGGTGCAGTGTCTATTTCTTCATGACTGTCACGTATTCATTGAGGTTTGATTGGACCATATAACAGAACAGTTCTACCCAGTTGTACTATTCTCAAAGCGGGAGTTGAGAAAAGAGCTCGTCCGTCCGACAGGTAATGAATCAGTTGAGGTCTAGACACGAGTCTACATGAGACCAGATCTTGCGGACGCACTCATGAACGGACCAGGAGAATGAGGGACCGCTGACTCCGTAAGATTTAAGAGTGAACAAGTTTCTGCAAATGTACCATCCACACGACGAGGGCAATGAAGGTCGATCCAGTTCCATAGCCTCATGTCAGGCTGAATCACATCCCTATGTGATATCGGATAGATACTGCTAGTCGTATCTACCTTCTGTGACTTAACCAAGAGAGAAGGTCAGCACTCAAGGCTCGCATCACAGCAGCCGGGAGTCAATAGACTACCTAGGTGCGTAGTGGCATGTATACGATACGTTAATCGATCCTGTTAATTTCGAAAACGGCGAGAAGAACACGACAGCCGATTTCACGTGCAACGGTTGTGGGAATCGAGATGCCAATTAGCCTCACTCTCAAGAGTGACTGAATAGTCCCGCTCCTTATCTCAATAATGTAAGTTGAGAAATAAGAAGAGAAAAACAGCCACCAGGCTTCCTGAACACGTTATTTCACTCCTTCACTCTCAACTAGCTCATGTGGTCGGTTCTACCACTGTGCTAAGTGAATAGAGAACAAGAGTCTACAGAACGGAGACGGAGATTGAAGCGCAAGCAACAACAACCTAAAACATCATTCTTAGCAAATTGCGTGATGACAAGATGCGGTGAGATACCGTTGGGAAACGTAGCATTGGCGGATGATCAAGGCCCGACAAGCCCGAAAATACGTGAACCAGACGTCATCATCGCCCAGCGAAAGACCTGGCTCACCCCCGCCTTAGCCAAGCGAGGGGCCCCGAGTCAGCAGCCATCGGAGCAGGCCCTTCGGAGCAGATATGCCTGAATTGTGGATCATCGGACCGGCTCAGTGCCTCGGACGTACAATCGGCGACTCGGGGATTGTTTGTTTAATCATGCGCGGCAATCGAGGACGGTACAGTCAAACGTTGTGGATGGAGAGCTGCCCACCAGAGAGATGTTGTTTTTTTTGTTTTCGTTTTTCTCTCCTTATAGGCGAGTAAGGTGCTCCATGCGAGCCATCGATAACCTCGCTATAGGAGTCATGGTATATGGATGTTCGCAAACGGGGGATTCCGGCTTACCTGCCAAACCCGTCACGTAGTCCGGATATTGATGTGGAAACTTACAAGAAATGAAAAGAAGCAGAGAAAAAAAAACAATGTGTCAACCGCAACATTAATGTAGCTCACTTCGTGTAACTCAACCTTGTCTCGTGTAGTGTCTGCAAATCCGGGTGTCATTGGTCCTGCAGGTGACCACATGAGCGTCGGTCTAGACAAGGCGCTGAGTAGCGACTGGGACAAAAGGACCGGCATGCTATGTTTCCGGGATTGGTTGGTGTGGTTGAAAGAAGAAGCCCAGTACTCCGTAAGAGTTTCGGCCATCAGACTGCTGAATGAGAGCGATGATCATAACTCTGAAAAGACCAGTCAAGCTGGATCCCACGTTTGAGGCTTGGCTCAACCTCAAGTGCGGTAAATGGCTGCCGAGTGAGAAAAGTTTGCTGATGATGCGACCTCCACCGCCATGGGCGATAGCAAGGCGAGAGAATAGACATGGATGGGCACGCCTGGGCGCTTGCCATGGTGCTGACTCGAGGTCCCAAGAATTGAGGCAGTCCACCCTTGTGGCGAGCCTAGAGCGCTGAATGATGAGACGAACATCTGAAGCAAAACAAACTGACTTGGCGGGAAAAGTCCGTGAAATTAAGTAAAATCTCACTTGGTCAGGCGACGGGGGACGAGGGACAGGGAGGTGGGACAAGAGAAGGGAGGGACAGAGACAAGACTCACCGAAGTAGTCGATAACAGTAGTGTCGAGCGCAGACGGCGGAGCACTTTATCTTAGCGCGAACCAGGGCTCAGAAGATCTTCGCGGGGATCCCGCTGCTTCGAAAACGAATGAGAGACGAGGTTAGCGACCAAAAAGGGCTCCAGCCAATGGATAAGTATCATCTCCTCGAAGCTAGGTGGTCTTGCAGCAGGGTCGTGACTGGGGTCTTGTTAGGACAAAGCCGCGGGGTCCTTGCATTTCCCTCGTGTCTGTTCCTTTCGGAGGGGGAGCTAGAACCTGTTATGACGTAGCTTGTTGGTAGGGGGTGTGCGAAATTGTGAGGGCGCAGACTCGGAAAAAGTGAGGTTTTGGATTATTTTTGAATCTGAGAACCACCTGGGTCAAACGGATGGTCCCTGGCCAGTTGGGAACAGTGACAGGACGCGAGGACTTGGGAGGTCTCAAGACTCAGAATCGAAGTGAGTCACTGTCAGGGGTCCAACCAGATGGGGGCCAATAATGGTATCTTCCGCCTGGGACAAAAGCTGATTGCGCTGCTGATGCAGATGAGGGAGCATACCTCAGCATGGCCTAAGGCGGGGCACGTCTTGAAGGTGGTGGGAGCGAAGTGGTTGGATTTCCAACAATGGAAGAGTGTGGTGTGAACGGCCCGGCGCAAACGGTCCAAGTTGATCATGGCAGGCCCCCACGGCCCCTCCTCTCCCGTAATGTATCTGTACTTGTCGACCACTGCCCGGGTGACAGGGTCAGCAACGATCATGAAGTGGGATTCGTGAAGAAGACCCATGGGAAAGAGGGACGAGAAGGGGGAAAACCGAGGAATACGAATGGCGTACGACATTGTAAAGGTGTAATGAATGAGAAAAAAAGTGACGGTTCCTTGGTGGCTGGTCCCAACAGCTGGCCCCTCCCTGTCGTAACAACACCCTCCCCTACCCCTCCTCCTGCTGCCCCTCCTTATCGTTATCGTGTGTCTACCTGACGGATAGGTGGTGCACGCCGGCCGGCAAGTCGGCGGTCAGTCCATCCGTAAGGTAAGGTAGCGCGAACCACTTGATGATAGGATTCGCCATGATACTGAGAGACCAGGCTCGGTTACGTCGATCAATGGTAAAACGAGCGAGGAGCTGCCGAAGGATATTGACTTGAGAAAACCTTCCGTAAATGTTGCTGGCAATGAGTAGGTGTATGTATCGAGCATCTTAAAGCATTCTTTTCGATGGCATCTTGTCGGCACGCTCGGCGGATTGTCGGGCCCCTCGTGCTTCCTCAAAAGGCGGTCGCAATTCCGCAACAATCAGTGTACTCACACCCGCTGGGGAGTTGGGAAGTTCGCCGTCATACGGGATACATCTGGGCAGAACAAAACCACGGCCGAGTAAGACAGCACACGGTGTGGACCGACAGCAGCTTCGTCACTTTCGGACCTTTGGTTTTGATCTGGCAAGCAGGCCAGTAAACCGGTGAGAGGCGAGCAGGGAGTCCGCAGCATCACGGGCTTGCTGGGTTCTTTTAGGTGCATTTCATGATCGAGGGCTGTCCGGCTGAGGTCAAGTTGTGGAGACACCGTGTCTCGCAAATACCGGGGAGAAGAGGGCAAACGCAAGAGAAGCCGTCGGATGCGGCAGTTTGAACTTTGAACCGGACAGCCTGAGAATAGGCTTCACTATCAGTCCTTTTTGTGAGACTTGGAGTTGCAAAAGACGGCATATGTGGATAGATATTGCAAAGAGGCTGGCGACGAGATGTTTCGTTTTCAAGACGGGTGAGTTAACGGCCGAAGGGCGGTTGCAAGAAAAAGAAGACTTGCCGGCGAAGCAAGCTTGGATGGCAGGACCCCAGTCTGGATTCAAGTTCAGGGTCTCTCCTTCTATTCGCCAGATGAGGGAAGGTGGGCGGATGAATGAACAACTAACTTATCGACCAGGAAGGACTCACAGAGTATAAAGTGCCCCAATTACCACGGCGCAAGGTATCCGTACAGCGCTGCGAGGCAAGCTGCAAAGACACCTTCTGGTAAGGGAAGGCCGCGAGTTCAGGTTATCCAAGGGCAGAAAGTACGAGACAATCACCTATCCATACGGATACCTCACTCGTCTTAGCAACCAAAAGCCACAGCACAGGCAGGACGGATAGTGGAGGACGACAGGCAGGGTACATGGCGGGTGTTAAGGCCGTCTTCATGTATAACAAGCCGAAAACATGCTGGTGCTGCGAAGGGCTCGCATATGGCGCGTGCGACTGGTCGATCAAGTTGAGTTTCGTAACACCTGACAAGCCTGCCTTAGTTGTGTGTTAGTCTCACTCTCACTCTCACTTTCGTTCTTACCCTCACTCACTCTATCGCCCGGCCCTGGTTGCTCTCAGGCCGAGTCGAATCACACGGACCCAGAGACAATCTCTCACACCCGAAGCCATACTACTTTCAGTGTAGCTTCCTGTGAGAATCCGACCATGATTTGTGGTTTTGTGGTGGCAGCGAGCTATTGAATAGTGTATTTTCTTCGGCGTGGGAATTGGCTTGTGTCTGGAGTGCCACGGACAGAGAGCATGCAGAGCAGTGGTGGTGAGTATATTGGTGAGTGATTACCTTACAGCCTACAAGGTCGCCAACCCCTTGTCACTATCATCATGCCAGTATCCTGCAAGCCCAGTAAGCCATGCTGTGCCCACCGAGGTGATGACCAGGGCCAGCCATGAGATCCAGCGCCAGCCTACCAGGTGTGCTGTGAGGAGCTCGCAGGTCAGAGTGACGAGAAACGTTTCTAGACACAGCCTCACAGGTCATTCATCCGTGGCAAGGGCGCTGGACCGTATTTATTGATACTTGATACCTTTCGAAGAACATTGCGAGTGTGTGGTATTATTGATTGCCCTGCTTGGACCGGCCGAGCTCAGGTGGTTCATGTGAGCACCTCACTCACACTTAGATGGAGCTGACCAACTGAAGCCAGGGCCCAGGACTGCCGTTGCGACCTACTGACACACCCCATGGCCCCCGGTCGTTGACGTTTACATACATACCGCTTTCGCACCACGGCCGAAAGGTTTCGTCCTTTCACGACCCGGTCACGACATGATGATGCCTGGTGGAATCACGGCGGAGTTTTTGGGACTTCCCTCGGGGGGGGGGGGGCAGCTGGAGTGGTAAGTGAGTGGGTTCTCAGCTCCGTCTGTCAGTCTGATCAGTGGGCAGGAATGCGAAGACTCCAGCGTAACGAACCTCGGAAAGAGAATTTGTCCACGCTCAGACGTTTCCGGCAGGCCAGCATATCGTCGCTTCCGAATTGTAGTAAACTGCTGAGGCTGCTGATGCTGATTATGATGCCAATATGCTGATGTGCCGATGCGGTGCGCTTGCATTCCCGTCAGCGCCCGCTTTTCCTGATACATCTCACTTTACACGCCTCCAGCAGCGACTCCCCTCATTTTCATCCGTCTGTTCAGGCCTCCAGCCCAGTTTGATTATGGATGTGGTCACGAACGGAAAAGATGCTCTTTCTTTGCCGACTCTTTCATTCTTCGCAATGCTCTCGAGGCCCCGGCTCCATCATTCATGGTTCTTTGAGAGCAAGGAAACTTTCAGCCTACCGCCCTTGTGCATCGATCCGCCCACAAATGGTCAACTGCGGATACCAACTTACATGGTTTCTGCAATGGTCAATATATGGTTCAAGAGAAAGGCGACACTTGTTGGCAATGACGAGACCTAGCTGCAACTTGCAGCACATCCTCAAGCCTCTCCCTGTCCACCGCCGCCACCATCAACCACCGCTCGTCCGCCATTGAGGATGGTGCTTGTGACCTGGTGTCGACCCAGTCTTTGGCGTATCACAATTCGTCTCTTCCCTCGCCGCCTCTGAAAGTGTTTAGGAAAGGAAAGGTGCCTTGCCGCCGCCGACTGACACCCGCCCGCCCCCGTGGGATCCGAACAGCCAACAACGACCCAAACACACCCGCTCGCTACCCATGTCTGGTAAGGTTGCTCACGTCTCGCTCACTTTTGGTGGCTCACCTCGGACGGGGGCACTAGCCAGGCGTGCCAGGCAGGCTGCAAAAGGTTACCCTCAGTCTCAAGGGAAGGGCAAGGGAAGTAAAGGGTACGACACGCAAGTACGGTGTATTCGTGGCTCACTGACTCTCAGTCTCAGATCCGAACTTGTCTTGGCCTTTCTCTTTCTGCCTCTTCATCCGCTTCCAGCTTCCGCTTCCAATGCCTGATGAGCACCCGACAAGGGACTTTTCATTTAACCCTCGCCCAGCGCAGTCCATGTCGCATAGCTTGCCCCTCCAAAGAGACGGAGCCACGCATACCCCAGGGCCGGGCCTGCTTACATGTGGAACATTGACGTGGGAAAGACCACTGAGAACAAAATGAGGGCATCGCACAAGGTAGCCGTACCCAGTCATCCAGCACATTTCCGCCGTAGTAGTAGACCGGCACCCGAAGCAGCAATGGATAATAAACATCTTTGCCAACAGAGCGGCGCCAGCAATCAGCACCCGCCCGGCCTGGACTAGGCCACGCGGTCGAATTTCCGTCATTTCTTCCTTCCAGACTGATCCTGTCGCTGTTCCCGACAGACAGCCACGTCCAATATTCAGTATTTTCCAGCCCCGGTTTGGCTTACTCTTACTGCTTATCATTGTTTTTGGTGGACCCGGCCGTACACTCAACTCGGTCACCGGAGGGAAGGCTTCGTGGGGTCCCGAGGTGAGGTGAGAGGGCCAAACGATGGACGAGTCGGATATAGCATTATTATGAGGGCAAAATGCAAACCCAAATGCCCCTCGTTGAATGGAAACAAAATGGCTCCCAGCTGGGAACTGGACTGGGTCGGCGGATGCGCATGGCCCTGCAAGTCTCTTGCTCGGCGCTCACCCAGTGGTCTCTAACTCTCACACTTACTTCCGCACCGTACCCCCAGCGTGTATCTTCCTCTCACGGCAAATCGTCTTCTGAGTCCCGGTCTTTTTTTCTGCCCTTGCTCCCTGACCCGAACCCCCCATTGGGTTATTGTCTGCCGTCTTCCCTGGCGGGAGTGCAGCGCCATGCCATGCCACGCCCAGCTTTTGCCTGCCCTGCCCATGTTGTGCTGTGTGTACGGATACAAAGTAGTGCTCTGTGTGCAATGTGCTGCGTGTTGTGTGTGTGTGTGTGTGTGTGTGTGTGTGTGTGTGTGTGTGTGCCTCTGCTCTGCTGCTGTGCTTTGCGTTGCTGCACTTTGCTTCGTCGTCTTTGGTTCGCTCTGGTCCAATCCATTCCTGTTGGAGCAAAGCAATCCAACCTAGCCCATAATTACCGCCCTTTCTGCCCTGCAACGACATGACTTTCTGGACATGGAACATGGCCCCGGTCATGGACTGCCCTTTGGATCATCGGAGGAGTAGCGGTAGCAATATCTAGCTGGCTAGCAGTACCGTAAAGTAAACGCCGGTCGGTTCGAACCAGCCCCAGCCCGGCCCAGCCGTATTGATTGTGCAGTCTACCAATTCGGTCCCGTCTTGTTGCATGGTTTCCCTCACTCTTTCTGCACATGTACGTGTGTATGCTCTTGCTAGTCCAACCCCCGTCCCGGTGTCATTGCGTGGGCACTCTCTGCGAAGGGCTCCATCATCACTGGTCTTGTTCCAAGCCTGTCCTTCGTGAGGGTCGAGTGTGAGGTGAGTGTGAGCGAGATACCTGACTTATACCTCTGGGGGTGGTGAGGTCCAAGGTGGGCTTTTGCTTTGGCTTCCGGTGCCTTGTCTGGACCTCGCCTCGTCTTCCTTTCCGGTTCCCTTCCACCCATTCCCATTGTCTCTTAGACCTTGCCTGGCTGGAGTGTCTCCTCCTTCGTCTCTCCGTCGTTCGTCCATGGCCCTGTCGACCCGACCTTTCTTGCCTCCCTACTAATACACCTTGCCTCAATAAGTGGTGGTGTCTGTCGGTCTGGCGTCTGGTGTCCGGTGTCTGGTGTCTGGTGTCCCCAAGGTTCCCTTCCTTCTTGCCTGCGACGAGATACAAAACCCAAGACTGCCTACCCACCCCTCTTTCCTTGCCGCGCCTTCCCTTCCCTTTTCCAACCCCCGGTGGCCGTCTCTCGTCTCTTCTTCCCACTTCCTCCTCTCTTCCCGAGCCATCGTCGTCTCACCGATACTCTTCGCCGCCCACCGACCGCTCGTGAACCTAACCTAACCTTACCTTCCAACGTCTCCCTCCCGAACCCCATCGACCAATATCCCTTGCTCGGCGACATCGGCGTCACGACGTATGCAGCCTGTCACAAGAGAAACCAAAACCCATCGAGTCACCGTCACCCCTCTTTTCGTCTACCTAATAAGAAGACGACCAGGCTGCCTTCGCCCTCGCTCTGCTCCTTTCACTGCCTTACTTGGCCCATCTCACCTTGCCTAGCCTCCTCCTGAGTAGTCATCCTCAACGATACTCATACACACCACATCCATATAAGGTATTCCATCCCTCTGCCTCGATCCCCCGCCTTGAATGGTTCCCACGCACAATCCTCTTACACGCTCCTCCTTTCATCCCTACTCCATCACCGCCCTGCGACAAGAGTAAGAGCGAACAAGCAGATTAAGAGACACAGACCGCTCTTAATACCAGTTCGTTACGAGGAACGCCAAACAGTCGTTTTTCCTCTCTCAATTTTTCTTAAAAAAATTCCCACGGCATGAAACTCCATCGTCCTTACCCAGACTGCATCTTACCTGTTACGGCCAAACAAGACAGACGCCTGCATCCCGCTCTTTTGCGAACATCCGACTAACTTCTGAAAGCGGCATGATCCAGCGGCCCATCCCAGTGTCTTAGCAGCAGCGCCCCTCACCTCACAGCCGCATCACGTCCCGCTCGACTCTTACACTTCATTCCGCCTCGACCACCCCAGGTACCACCCTACTGAGGCTGGGAGTTTGAGCACCTTGTGCATCACGCCTAAAGGACACGAACTACAACCAAAAAAAGGTAAACCTCGATGGGTTACTGGGGAGAAAACATTTCGAGCCGACCTTGGAAACTCTTTATCGCCCATCGATAAAACCAGCGACGACTCTTAATTGAACGCATTCCGACACCTCCAGACTCGCCCACTCGGCCGCATCTACCCCTCCTCCAGTCAGTCTGCGACGACTTGCCAACAGACCACATTCATTTCGGAGCCCTCTCACTTGAACGATCCGCTTGCCTCGACCACCGGCAGCTTGTACGACGACGAACGCACCTTCTGATCGATTGAACAAGGGCATAGAAGAAGCAAGCGAGCGACGCCGTGCAGCTGCATACAAACAGGGAAATCAAGCGACAACAAGGAGGGGAATAAAGAAAAGAGCCAAGCCATTTGGTGAAAGAGAGACTGTGATTCTCCAACACAGGCAATACTAGTCACAATTCAGAAGCCGGCTTCACAGCGACAGGCTAGAGGACTTTCCTCACGCAACGGTGGAAGGGATTTACAGCATGGACGAAGCCATGGATTACGCATATCATCATCCGGAGCAGCCTCAGGGTCAGGCACAGAATCCGTACGCACAACAGCGACCACGATGCCCTTATTTCCTCAACAGAGAAGGCCAACAGCAACTCCCTGGGATGCCACAGCATCGCTCAACAATGCACTACGACCCTGTTCACTCCTCAGCGAATTACCCAAATTGGCAGCCTCAAGTGCCACCGATACCTGGGCCATATCACTGGCAACACCAACCCCACATGATGAACCACCGGGGACATCCGGCACCCCAACACCGGCCTTCGAACTCGGGCTCTGAGGCACCTTACTACAACCATGTACCTGTTCCGAACTTTGGCAATGTGGCTGGTGGCTACTCAGGGGCACCCCCAAGCGAGATGGTAGGCCCTCCAACCATGCAGCCGTCGTTCCCTCATACGCAGCTCCCTCCGGTAAGATTCAATCTTTCGACAGCCCTACCAGCAGGCCATCCGGCACAAGGCCAGCCGTTCTACACCAGCTCTGAGAGGAACTTTGGTGGGCAAAATGCTGCACCTCGCCACAACGCCTTTAACACGGCTTCTCACTCTGTGAATACATCAACTCCTCCCGTAGCACAAACTAGCTCAGAACACCTTGTGGCAGCCCTGAATCCTCCCCAGATCGAGACATCAGACTCTACTGGAGGTACAAATCAAGCACCATCTTCCGGGGCCAGCATCCAGTTTGGATCTGCTCCTCCTTCATCTGCTCTCCACCGCAGCACTGCAACCTTCCCCAATCCGCCGCGTGACGTTCACCAACCTAATTCAGGTGAGTGGGGTTTGCCTGTACCTGAGACTCCATCTGCTAATGATGCCCGGAATATCACAGGCGCCTCATCTTCTGGAGCCTCGAGCTCATCAAGCAGCTTGGGCTCGCATCACCATTCAGAGCGACGTCGAGTTCCTGCCATTCGGCGCGCGTCCAGAAGACAAAGCCCTCTTTCCGACAGTGATGTCGATTCCGACCGAAGCGCGCTCGAACAGGTCATAGCATTGGCTGGAAATCCAACGCAAATGGCACGTCATATTATGACTCTGGAAGAAGACCACGTTCGGGCCGCTCAGTTCATGCGTGGCTCTGTGACCACGAAATATGTGGCGTCTTCGTCGGCTATCCAATCTCTTCAGAGCGTTCCGATTACCGAGCTATCAGAAAGCGAAAGAAGTGGGTTATAAGGATTCCGGCTCTATTGTGAGAGAAAAAATACTAACATGATTCGATAGCCTGCGTCATCTGCTACAATGAATTCGGTGTGGAAACACCCGAGGGCGTGAAGGAGGCTCCGCTGCGACTGCCCAAATGCAAACATGTGTTTGGTGATCACTGCATCAAGAAATGGTTTGAGGAGTCTGACAGCTGCCCTTACTGCAGAGACAAGGTGCCGCACGAAGCCCGGATCACATCCACACACCCAAACTTTGACCGGTACTACCGCAATCGTGGTCAGGTGAACCTTGGAGGTCTTGCTGGTTACGCTGGCTATATGCGAGACAGGGACGCCAGTCTTGCACAGGACGACTCAAACCGCTCGCAAGGATCTGGATCTAGCCATGGTGAACGCCGCTCTCCCCCGACAGACAGCGGTGAAAGTCGGCGTAGGATTCGACCTCGTACTGGCATTCAAGGGCCAGGGTCACCAACATTCAGCAGCAGCCGGCCCAGACCAGTATCCAGCGCATACGAAAGTAGTAGGAGAGCGCATGCTACAATTCCTGCTCTGCTCCCACCTCGTGGAGCTTTCCCATCCAACGGCTCCAGTCGTACGAACCACGGTGCTATATCACAGGTGTCGTTTTCCGGTTCCAACCTGCATCAACACCATCATCAGGCGACTGGCTTTGCAGGTCAAGGAGAGAACGGGAGCGCCTCGACGCAGGGAGTTCCGATACTCGCACGCCACCCTAACGGAGCTGCGCCAACCGCTCTTGGCGTGCCTGAAGGGCTCCATGGGAACGGATATCTGAACCCCGCGAACCGAACCTCCTTGCCGGCAGTCCTTCCGGGCCCTTGGATCGGAGACCTAACAGCACCCGACGAAAGCCATCGGCGTATGGTGGGTGGTGAGAATGGTGTGTCGCTTCAAGCCAACCCATGGGTACGGGAATAGGGAAGTCAACATGGACTTGGCGGCTGTGGACAGCGTAGGCGTGGACGGCGTGGCCAGTGGAAACGTAATTGGTATACTGGATATGGGGGACAGTTTCACTAACCAGTCTGCAATTTTCTTTCGTGGAAAGGCTCGGTTCGGCATGCAGGATGACCTTTTACACAGATCGACCACGGCGTTTATTTCTTTTATTTTTTCGGTGGTCATGGCGTTTCAGGGAATCAGGGATCGTCATCTTCGTGATGGCATGATTCAGGATCCAAAGTCTCTCGGTAGGATTCATGAGGTCTGTTGGATCTGACTGCTTTTAAGGGCTGACCACTTGGGGGGCCAGCCTGAGTGCACAAATCATCAACACATTCCAGGGGGGCACTCACTTATTTGGTGTTGGCCTGTAAGCCACGATACGCAAACAATGCGATACCGCGCACATGGCGGAAGCGACACAGCAAGCTAGTCTAGTTGGTTCTAGTTGGTTGAGCGGACGAATACATGACTCTATCCCACTCATATTCCGTTTTCTGACTATCTCGTTGTAGAATCCAAGTGTATGGGTGAAATTGTTGGCCTACGCGGATTAAGGCATAGGTTTTCCATAGCTGACCTCAAAAGTAGGCAGGCACACAGGTATTGATATGAGACATCACGGGACTTGGTTGACATACAAACTCTTAGCTTCTAGGCAATGATTGGACGGCGAACACTTCCCTTTTGGCCGTTGGAAAACGAACTTGGCGGAGAATGCAATGTGGACGGCACGGAACGGAATTTGGGGTCTCAGTAGCCCGTGTGAAATCCGTCGGGACGGAGGGGCGGCAGTGTCGTGCCCGGTTTACGTTTTGCGGTTATGTGGATGTTAGACCCTGGCCCGATTCGGTGTTTTGGGTTATCCCGGCGGGTCTTGTCCCGTCGGGTGCGGAGTAGGAGTGTGAAGAGGGGGAGGAGATCCGAGGAGAACGACGACGAAGTCAGACTTCTCGGAGGTTTTGCTTGGGTTTTCCTTGACTTCCAGGATGATGGCGGGTTAGTGGAGGCGAGGGGAGGGGCAAGAGGAAGAGGGGATGGTTAAGTATCTGGGGTGCAGTTCCGGCGGGCACCTACCTCATTGCTCGTAGGACGTCGGAAGTTTGGGTGGTTGTGTTGTTTCTGCTGCGTGCGTACGAGAGGGGGACCACGAATCATGGGAGTTTTTGGAGAATATCAGATGGTAGTATTGTAATGATACACTCGGAGAAAGCGGGTGGCGAGGTGTGTATCGCGTGTAAGTTGCTGGGTTAACATGGGGAGACAGACAGATGGACACGCAGGCAGTGGTATCACATCATTCTGCTGATTGCGATCTATCTTTCGACGCTGTATATTCTGTTCTTTGCCAAGGTTTGAAGTGGAAAGTTGACTTACAGACAGGCATCGATGCAGAGACGTGTAAGCGAATGCGAACGAGAGCCCCTCGCGGCCCGAAAATGGATGATGAATGATGGAAAAGGTTGGCCGTATTTCCCATTGGCTGGGGCCTCGTTATCCATGTGGTCCCTTTTGCGTGGCATCCGTGGCGTCCGTCATCACGGGAACTGTGCATTCTGCCCAGAGGGGCAGATCTACAGTATGGGTGGGATTTAGACTCTTTAGGGACCCGTGTTGTATTATTTCAACCGTTTAATCACCCCACATCTTGACTGCTGTTCTGATGCCACGGAAGACTGCCACCCGAATGTAGAACTGCAGAGTCGCTGCTGCTCTGCCACAGTTCCTAGCTGTCATAGATTGCCGCTTCCTCCCGAGCGGTGCAGCATTCGCTTCGAATGACCGGGCGGTGCATTATCAAATGTTTTAGAAATAAGGAGGGGGGGGACGGACGTGTGCTGCCAGCAGCAGGACAAGACGCTTGGGTTCATGGCAGGCAGGACAATGTCGTTGAACAGGCGGTAAAAAGGGTTTGTATCACCAAAAGCTATCTTTAGCGTGGTGGAATGGTAGGAAGATAGATGGGTTGAATGAAGGGTTTCTTGATTTTGAGCCTCACCTCTACGGACGGCGGAACGGAAACAAGGCCTGCCGTTGAAGGCGAAGGCTAAAGGTGGCGGTGCTGCTTGTTGTGTTTCTTGCGCTTGATGTTTCCCGTTGTCTTGTATTGGCCCTTTTGGGTTGTTTTAACCACCTTTTATTTGGTGGTCTATGTCAGGTTTTAGGCCTGTGCGTCTCTCTGTTAAAAGATAGTCAGAACAGAAGGGTGAGTTTAACAGAACAGCCCGATGTTTGGTTCAAGAACGCAACGGCAACGGCTTGGGCTGAAGTTGGGCGTTCAGGGGGACAAAGTTAAGTTATGGTTCTTCTTGACAAATCAGTTTGAACTTGGCTTTCCTCTGGTCGTCCAGACGGGACGTCTTCTAATGCTGTGCTATGCCCCATTCTTAACTCATTTTGCAGAGAATAGTCCAGGGCTCTGCTTGTTTGAACAGGTGAGGGGCCAAACCGAGAAGGAAGAGAGTGAGGCTCTTGGTAAGAGAGGCTTTCGATTACCTTGTTTGGGTAAAGGTCCCCCGTATTCCTGCAAGCCGTACTCGTCCTGGAGATGAAGGCGAAAATGTAGAAAAGGAAGACGAAGCAGAAGAGAGGAGCACTGTCCACGCGATTGAAACAGGCATGCTATGCGACTTGGCCCTGCGTCCCCCTTCCAATCGAAGGGACCATCCGAAACGATCAAGTCGGACTTTTCTGACTGAGCCAATCGCCTTTGCCTCGCACGGCCAAGCTTGGCGTGGTATCGGCATGGGACTGGACCGAGTCGCTGGAATCGCAATAACGTTGTATCCTTTGCTTTGTTCTTTCGCTCACTCTCTTTAGTCCGGGATTCGGGGTCGAGGAGAGGACGGGTAGTAATTCCAAGGTGAGCCAAATGTTACACCGAGAAGAGGGTAACCCGTATTGCGTACATAGCACTCAATGTTGGAACTCAAGACAAAGGCAGAGGAGCGCCACGACTGAGTGCAAACGGAACAAGACTGGCACAGCTAGAGACTGGACGGCGCCCTCCCAAGGGTTTCCAAGGCGGCAACATCCCGCCGGATTTTCCTAGCACGGTAGAAGAAGAAAAGAACAGCAAGCGAACGAAGAAGGGTGGGATCGGGCAAACAAATCATCCCAGAAGCCCGTTGGACTGGGACGATGGCCAGGGACCCCCCTCAAATCCCGTCCCGGACTTTTAGTTCCCCTTCTAAACTTCTTCCAGATATCTAGGCAAGCTGGAGCTGGGCCTTTTCGGTTTCCAAGACACGACACAACCAATCCACGGCGAGCTAGGACGAGAATGGCATTCAATTCGAGCCTGGTGTCTCCATCAAAATGTAGTGTACTCATCATCCATAGAACCCCTCCCCCTACCATCCCACCTTTTTTGAACAACCACCAGTCGCGGGTCATGTGCCGATTCGTCGAACGTGGTGGTGCTGCCTTTTTGCGGATGAACTTCTGAATCCCGGCGTCCTGCAGTTAACATATTCGTAGGTAGAGAGAGTAAGACGGAGTCGGGATGCTGAGGTGGCATACCGTATACACCAGGAATCGCCTACGGATACCAAGACGGAGGAGGAAGAAAGACGAAAAAAGGCAACGAAATACGTACAACTATCTAGCTCCCTTGTCAAGCAATCGAGCCGAGCTCTCTTTCTCTCTCCACCGAGCTGCAGAACGAAGCCAAGAAATCCGCTAGGGACTCTTTTGGAGGGGGGCAGAGCAGCTTGCAACCAACGGCAGACCGGCTCATTGTCATCACTCCAGCTCCGTTCCCCAGCATCCCATCTCGTTTGCTTCTTTACTTTAGTAGGGGAACGTCCTCCTCCTCCACCCTTGCTCACTCCATTGACCTCGGATGCCACGTGCTTTTAGCGTGTAGTTGCTTCATCGACTTTCATCAGAGATAACATCTCAGATCTTCTTTCTCAGATTCACCAACCCAGAATTGACAACAATACGGTACTCTTCATATCTTTCTCTTCTGGTTGAGATAAAATCACAATACAACAAAAGCCGGGTTCGTCGTTTGAAGAACTTCACTCACCCCTTCTCCCAACCACCCCCGGCATCCCGTCGCGTCTCGTCTCATCCCAACTCCGTTCTCCATCGTCTCGCCCATCTGTGGTCTCCGACAGCCAAAACTCACCACCCCACGGCCCCTTGTCTGAAGGGACAACCCAAGAACGGACTTTTGGAGGAACCAAGTGCCTACTTTACCTTACGGGCTGAACAGTTGGAACAGCGCAGCAAATAAGGGACTTCCCATAGAAAACGCAGTACGTGCGTGGATCCTCTCTTTCCTGTGTGTGTTTCCATCTATTTTGCGGCTTGCCTGGGTGTGCATGTGCTGGCGATGCTTTGGTTCCATGTCTGCAACCCCGTACGCATGAAACAGATCGACCCGGCCCTCATTCCACGCGGGATCTGCCTCGCCTTGTCTGCCCTCTTCTACCTACCACACGCCACCACCACCTCTTTTCCCTTCTAATTGAGAGCTTAAACTTCAAGAAACAGCTTTGATCCGTTGTTGTTCCTTTCTGTCTATTTTGCCATTTACCTTACATAACCTTACCCTTACCCGGGAGTTTAAACGCCCAGTCTGGCTTCTTCATTTGCGTGTCATTGGGAAAAGTGCTGGCGACTTACGCAAACCTCCCAGGTCAACAAGACATAGCACCAACGAAACCGTCTACTGCGCGCTTTTCGACATTGAGGTCTTTTTACGAGAGTTCTAGACGCAGTCTTTGATAGATCTCGCTTTGCTCAATTCGAAACTCGGACAGCTCGCCTTTTTGTCGCAACGTAGACGTTGGAGTCGTCGTCGTCATCAAAGAGAACTAGCTACGCAGACAACGCTCCTCAAAAGGAAAAGAGACTCGAAGAACAACCGCAACAATGAGCGTCCCTTGGCGCGGAGTGTCCGTCAGCTCGGCTGCAATCGCCGTACTATTGGCCCTGCGACAACCAGTATTCTCGAGATGTCACCT